ATATATGCTATCAGTCTTTTATTTTGAAGGCAGTATGTCTCCTGCTCCGGTGTTATGTTGTGTGGCATAACCGTTTGTGAACTAGTGACTATGGCTTACATCACGCATACAGTCCGTGTGTACTACTGGTAACGATCATCAGTGTGTATGAGGTGAACTTCTTCTCTGGGCGTCTCCAGCTGTCTTCACCGTATTCTTTCAGAGTCTCACAGCCGCAGACATGACTCTACCTCTGGGATGGCTCTCAGTTGTAGCCGCGGGTGTTTTCTCTGCTCATGTTTTGCAGAAAATCTGCTTCCCATACTTCTGGAGGGACCTCTTCTTCCTGCTTAAAGTGATCAGGTACGGAGTAAAGCTGGAGCTGTCCAAGCTGACAGCCAGCGTGTGTACGGTCCTGGACAAGTTCATCCAGCAGGCTCAGCGCATACCCGACAAGCCGTTTGTTATCTACGATGGAAACGTCCACACCTATCGGGACATCGAGCAGCGTAGCAACAGACTCGCCAATGTTTTCCTCGAGACAGTACACTTGATGAAAGGAGACTGCATCGCCTTGCTGATGAGCAACGAGCCCGACTTCCTATGCGTTTGGTTCGGGTTGGCGAAGGTTGGCTGCTCGGTGGCTTTCCTCAACACCAACATCAAGTCCAAGTCTTTGCTACATTGCATCAACTGCTGTGGAGCTAAAACTCTAATAGTTGGTTCAGGTAAAGCTCTCGCCTTCACTTGTTATTGCTGTGGGTCAATCACCCTGTCTCCGATTTACCACTGTGGCTTCATCAGAGCCGGTTCTGAGCATTTAGTTTCCTGATTGGCAGGAGCGATTCTAGGATCAGAGGTTTAGGGGTGCTGAGCACCCAGACAGCTGCCCGGCCAGGCAAGATAAATTTCATTGTTTTGTACATTTTAACGCAATTTCATTCCCACATTTGTGAAAGAAAATCACAACACTTTTGGGGGCAAAAAAGGCAAATAACCAAACAATGCGTTTTATATTCTAATAAGAGATATAAACTGATCTGTTGATCCAGCTTACAACATCATTCTAGATAGATAGACCATTTGATCTTACACTCTTACCTGAACCTGGCTCTTTTTTTTTTTTTTTGAAAAAACAATCTTATATCCATGATGAGTCTGTCTGTACACACACACACACACACACACACACACACACACACACACAATGGGCCCTAGGCCTTTCTGGGGTATTTTTACTGCCTTTACTTTTAAGCTCATATCACAGTCATTATAAAGGCTACATACACATGCTATATCTTGTTTTTTTTCAGGACAATCTGGGCTATACAGATTTGCCACTATTCCATGTCCTTCTATGTGCCTGTATTTCTGTCACTTCACAGTTGTCCAAAACATGTGGTTTGTGCCAGGCGGACATGATTGCCAGTATTTTTTCATTATTGCAAGAAATTCCATTGACTCATTCACTCAGTCAAAAATATGTTTTATCTGAAAGAAACATGCAATATTTACATCTAAGATCATAGAAAAATAGTCAACCAAGTGCAATGATGTCCTCCAAGATAATATTTGCCACTTTGTTTGCAGTAAAAATAAATTTGGGCATGGTAACTACTGCCCTGTCATGCATGCATAATTAGGCTACAGCTGTCTGGGTGCGCAAAGATAAATTGTGCTGGTCTTGTCATACAAAGTTTGACGAGTGTCAAATGGACAATATGGAGATATTTACATCTTGAAAGCTGGACTACAAATGTGGATAGACAGGGAGAAACACACGCAAGCCTAAGACGTGGTAAGATACGATATTCCTCACTATATGAAGTGAAGATCTGTATAATGGATTGTAAAGAAATTCGTCAGGTTTTTATTTTGTAGACAATTGATCTGGATTTATAGCGTGATGGGATGACAGCACAATGCATTTGCGAGTAATCCATCAAAGAGTAATGTGTGTGCAAAGCTGTATGAAAGCTCTGTTATACATAATTTTAGTGTAATTTTATCATTTTTTCGCTGTGAAAACATTGCACTACCGACAAGTGCTTCGTCTTGTCGGAAAGCTACAGTTCTGCTGTTTCACGTGATATGCATGGCTTCTCACTATGAAGCACGGTCGCAGAGAAAAACTACAGAGAAGAACAGGTGTGAATTTGGACGCACTATGCGTCATTCAGGCCCATAGGGTTAATATTAACACATGCACATGACACAACAGCTAGCTCCTCTCATTCCAATTAAAACAGGGGACAGTGGTACTGACCACCTGTAACGTTTCCTAGCTAGAAAAAACATCAGCTAACTCCTACCTAACAACATAAACAGTGACCTACGATTAAATGCAGCAAAAATGAGGACTGGTAATGACAATAATGTGTTGGTATTGAGTGGTAGAAGTTAAGAAATGTGCCACATATCCTGGTTTAAGCCAGGTACTTACACCACTATACCACTCTGGAAGGCAGCGCATTGCTCTGTGCAGATAGAGCACTCAGAGCCTGAGTCGGGGAAAGGTGGGGGGGGAATTCAATTTAGCAGCACCTAGGCTAGAAACGCCTATGCTGATTGATCAGGTATCCTCTGGCGTAGCCGTGTCATTATATTATTTTATGACACATATTATCATTTAGTCACAATCAGAAGGCTAAATCAGAAATACTTTATTGATCCCCGAGGGGAAATTGTGATTGGTTATAGTCACACCTATGTAAATCATAGAGAATTAGACTATAAGAAGTAAGTAAGTGTTTGAAATATAAGTAGGCCTATGTAAAGTATTCAAATAAAATAGAAATAAAATGTGCATTATGCTACAGTGTTTAACACTAGTAGGCCTACTTAAGATACTAAGAACAAGATGATATGACTGTAGATGCAGTCATAAGCCCCTTTTACACTGCCAGATTTTCAGCGAATGTTGGGCCGTTTTGTCGGCAAGCTGCGAGCGTTTAGACACACAGAGCAGGCTTGGCGAGTTGATCCGAGGTGCCAAATTTTCCGCCTCATAGGGTAGACATATTGGAGGAACCTTTTTGGTTTAAAAAGAACGAGGTGGCCTTCCGCTACAGGAGGGGCTGTTGATGACTTGTGGGAGGAGCTGTTGATGACGCCGCATGTGCGAACCACTGGCAGTGGATAAACAGGAAACAACTGATAGCAGGAATTAGCGAGCAGCTAGTAGCAAGAGCGAAACGCAAACCTGACTGTGAAGATGAGTGACTGGGTAGACAAAGAATTGCACGCCCTCTTTGCCCTCGCAAACGAAGAGGCCATTAACCGTCAAGTGACAGGGACGGTGAAGGACGGGCCGACTTATGAGACTTATGAGAGAATCGCCGAAGGACTGACCAGCCATGGCTTCCCTCCCATGTCACTATTTACGTACTAAGTTACGTTTGTTACTTGCTCACGCCCCCCATTGCCCCAAAAAAGGCACATTCTGTATGAACGAAAGTAGACAGGCGGCATTT